GTTTACACATCTGTGAAATGTGGCAAGTTGGACGAGATGACCTCAAAGCTCTTTCCAACTCTAAATGCTATGATTTCTATGATCTTTGGTTTTAGGAAGGAGATGCAGCCCTTACCCTTAAAACAATCCCATGAAAGAAGGAATAAGGGAAGGCACGAAGTAAGAAGGAAAGAAGGAGAATGAAAGTGAGCTGTCAGACATGGAGGAGGAGGAAAAGCAGGAAGGAACAGTACCATGCAAGCCAAATGAATTAATAACTAATTTATTAAATTATGAAATAAGGCAGGCACACTTGGTTTCTTTGGGCACTCCCGGGGAAAGAGCACAGTGGCAGTGGGGAATGAGGCTAAAATCACACTTTTAATAAGGCGCACAGGGTGTAGGGGCAAATGGTGCAGAAAGTACAGAGACAAGTGGAGAAAAGATGTACAGAGGCAGAAGGTGCGATGGTCAAGAATAAGGTAAATGCAGGTAGTGTAGAATGAGAGTGGGGAAGGGAAGAGGCAGAGAATATCACTCATATGACTGTGGATTCCAGTTGGGAGTGCTAGGTAGCGAAGACCCTTGAGAAATGGAAGAGTGCTCAGGGGAGGAGTTCTCATTTTTTTTGTTTGGTTTTTTTTTAAGGCAGTTGGGGTTAAGTGACTTGCCCAAGGTCACACAGCTAGTAAGTGTCAAGTGTTTGGTCTAAGGCCATATTTGAACTCAGGTCTTCCTGACTTCAGGGCCGGTGCTCTATCCACTGCGCCACCTAGCTGCCCCTGGAGTTCTCATTTTTATAGGGTTTGGGGGGAACAGACTAATTTTTATTGGTGCCACTTTGGGGTGAGTTCATTAACATATCCAAATCATCTCAAAGATGCTGGTAAAACTTTGAAGTTAACATGTCCACATCATCTCAGAGTTATCAGCACCATTCGGCATCCTGCCAGTCTTACTGAAGATGTCTGGAACTTGTCTATCACAGCATGAAAAAGACCTGACAGCAAAGACTAGATGGCTTGGATTCAGCACATATTAGCAGGATGCGGTTTTTAGTTAATATGTGTATACACACACACACACACACACAACATATATCACATATATACAGCTACAGATACATACATACATACATACATACATATATTTTGTTGTTGTTGTTGAATTGTTTCAGTTGCAGCTAATTCTTTGTGACCCCACCTGGGTTTTTCTTGGCAAAGATGCAAGATGCTGGAGAGGTTTGCCATTTCCTTCTCCAGCTCATTTTATACACGAGAAACCGAGGCAAAAAAGGGTTAAATGACTTGCTCAGGGTCACATAGCTAGTGTCTGAGGCCAGATTTGAACTCAGGTCTTCTAGACTTGAGGCCTGAGGTTCTATCCATTGTGCCACCTAGCTGCCCACATACACATATACATATGTATACATACATATATACATACATATACACATATATTTTTATAATATGTGTACATAAAACATAAATATTTTAGTTAATATAAGAATGTGTAAATTATGCTCCTTCAATCTTTGAGACAGTTTGCACATGACTTCCAGGTTCCCCTTTGCAGTCTTACTTCTTGGTATTGCCACTTATACTGGCTACTTACAAACTTACTTATTATATTGACTAGAACGGTGGGGGGTTAGTCAGGAGGACCAGAACAAGAGATAATTTTAACACACTAAGACAGGAGGGAGCTACAAAGAGGTGGTCAACAGTATCAAAAGTCACAGAGAAGTCAAGGGGGGTGAGGACTGAGACACGGCCATCGGGTCTAGCGGTGAAAGATCATCGGCAACCTTGGAGAAACCAGCCGCACTCTAGTAGTAGGACTGATATCCAGATTAGAAAAGGTAAAGCAGCATAGAGGGATTAGAGCTGGGAGCAACAGGTCAGAGTTGTGAGGAGGCAGATTTAGGCTTGGAGTCAAGAAAGACCTCTTAAGGTTGGAGCTATCCAAAAGTGGAATCAGTTTCCTTGGGATAGATAGATAGATTAGATAGATAGATAGATAGATAGATAGATAGATAGATAGATAGATAGACAGACAGATAGTTGGATGGATAGATGGATAGACAGATTGTAGGTCAGAGTAATAAACTCCTCCCAAGCCTTCCTTTACAGAGGGCTCTGAAGTTTCAGAATCTTCCAGGTGACTCTCCATTTTCCATCAGCAGCTCTGCTTGCTTTCACCTCCAGAGAACATCATACTCCGAGGCCAGGTACCCCCTAGCAGTACCTTCTCAACCCCCCCCACACACACCCCTGTTCCTCAATATTATATTGTAAGCTCCTTGAGGGCAAGGACAGTCATTCTAATTTGTAGCCCCAGTGCTCATCAAAGCGCTTAACACATAGTATGAGCTTAATGAATGTTTTGCTAATTGATGTTTAGCATTGAGGAGAAACAATTCAGGAGGGATAGAGTGCATGGCTACAGTATTTAAAGGTCCTTTAATGTTTGCAGAGTGCTTTGCAAATCTTCTCCCCAGCCCTAAATACTCCCATGCCCTCGATTCCCTGCCCTCCCCTTTCTCACTCCCTCTCTGTATCCTCCATGAGGCCTCCCCACTTCGAGTCCTCTTGATCCCTCCAGCTCTGCTCCCTCCTAGCCCTCTCTGTGCCACCTGAGTCATATTCACTCCTCCCTAGGTCTGCTCCCTCCCAACCTTGTTCACCACTGGTGCTCCCCTTCCCTGCCCCTCATACCACCTCCCCCCAGATAGCCCTTTACTCCTGCCATATTTCTCTCTAATTGCTCTAGTGGACCTAACACTGATAAGCATCTGTCTCATAGACCTGTGCCAGCCAGTTCTGGCATTCATGATCTTCAAGAGGATTGTGGGAAATATGTGGAGTCAAGAAGGGATAAGGAATAATCAGATGGGACGATGAAAGAGCACAGAGTAAGGACTGAATAAAAAAGTACGTTAAATGAACTGAATATTTTATTGAATGAATTCAGGAGGGGAAGCTCAGGTTATACAACATCAACTGGGCTCTCACTGCTGCTAGGCAATCCTACTGTACCTCCTTCATTGCCTCACTCTACATAGCAGCTCTTCCAAATTTTTTCATCCCTTATCAAACCTCCCATGGCTCCCCTTTCTCCCATTCTATCAGCCGAGAACTTTGCCTCATATTTTACAGAAAAAAAAATTGAGGGCATTTATGATGAACTCCCTCTTCTCCCCTCTTTCTCATCTCCTACCACTCAGATGCCTTTGGCCACTGACTCCTCCTTCACCCCTGTTTCACATGATGAAGTGGCCTCACTCCTTACCAAGGCTAACTCCTCAATTGATCCTGCTCCATTCCATCTCCCAACACATCATCTCTTACTTATTATACTGTCATTCCTACTCTGTCACTTTGCTGGTTCTGTACTGCCTACAAACATGTCCATACCTCCCTTATTGTCAAAAAATCCTCACTTGAAAACTATCATCATATATCTCTTCTGCCCTTTGTAGCTAAACTTGAAAAGTCTGTCTGCAACAGGTGCCTCCACTTTCCCTCCTCTCAGTCTTTTCTTAATTCCTTGCAATCTGGCTTCTGACTTCACCGTTCCACTGAAACTGCTCTCTCCAAAGTTATCAATGATCTCTTAGTTGACAAATCCAATGGCCTTTTCTCAATCCTCATTCTCTTAGACCTCTCTGCAGCCTTTGATGCTGAAGATCACCCTCTTCTCTTTAGGTTTTCAAGATGCCACACTTTCTCCTGGTTTGCCTCCCATCTATCTGATCACTCCTTCTCCATCTCATTTGCTGGATTCTCATCCAGAGCATACCCTCTAACCATAAGTGTCTGACAGTGTTCTGTCCTGGGCCCTCTTCTCTTCCCTCTCTATGTTACTTTTCTTGATCTCATCAGCAACCCTGAATTTAATTACCATCTCTATGCTTATGATTCTCAAAGCTACCTATCCTAACCCAATCTCTCTACTGACCCACCCCCCCATTTTGCATCTCCAACTGTCCTTCAGACATTTTGAATTGGATGTCCATCAGACATCTCAAACTCAGTATGTTCAAAATGGAACTCTTTATCTGTCCCCCTAAATCCTCCCCATCTGCATTTCTCCTATTACTGTAGAGGGCAACACCATCCTCCTAGTTCTTGAGGCTTGAAACCTAGGAGTCATCCTGAATTCCTCACCATCTCTCACACATTCTGCACCCTCCCCCCCATCCAAGTTATTGCCATGGCCTGTCAAGTTCACTTCTGTAATAGCTATCAAATACATCCCCTCTTTCCTCTGACACTGCCACCAGTGTGATGGTGGGCCTGCTGGTCACAAGTCTTTCTCCACTCCAAGCCATCCCCTATATAGCCACCAAAATGATTTTCCTAAAGCTCAGGTCCAACTATGTCCCTGCCCTACTCAGTATACTCCGATGGCTCTCTATTGCCTCTAGGATCAAATACAAAATCCTCTGTTTGGCATTCAAAGCCCTTTATAACCCTCCCCCTCACTTCCAGTCTTCTTACAACTTACTCCCTCCTATGAACAAGACATACTCTCTCTCTCTCCTCTGGGCACATTCTCTGGTTGTCCCCAAGGCCTGCAATGCTCTGCCTCTTTATTGGTGCCCACTGGCTTCCTATAAGTCCCAGCTGCAATCCCATCTACAGGAAGTCTTTCTCAGCCCCTATGAATTCTAGTGCCTTCCCTCTCTTATTTATTTCCTAGTTATCCAGTATATCGGCTGTTTGTACTTAATTGTTTGCTTGTTGTCTCACATTTGAATGTGAGTTCCTTGAGGGCAGGGACTGTCTTTGACCTCTTTTTGGTGCTTTTAGTGCTTCACACTAGGCGTGCCTGGCACATAGTAGGTGCTTAATAAATGTCGACTGACTGGACGTAGCAGCATTTCCTCTCCTCGATTAGTTTGGACTAGAAGCTGATGTTCAGTGGTTCCTTACTGCTTTTGCCTTGAATTCCAGGTTCTTTCCACCATGCCACAGCAATAACTCATCCACTCTCAACTTCCCATGAAGTCTACTTACGGAGATAGGAAAGTAGTCTGCCAGGTATTTCCATATACGCCATCGCTTTACGGTTTGAATCTGTCTCCCCCCTTTCCTTGGGGTGTCTCTGTCCAGGTACCACCAGGCTGAATAGAGGATGCCGAGGAACCAAAAGCGGGTGAAGAAGAGCCCAATGAAGACGATTGTGCAGACTATGCCTGGAAGAAGAAGACATGCAGTGCAGTCAGCATGGTGGCTCAGGCCCAAGTGCCCAGCTCAGCAAAGGCAGATGCTTAGGCCCGGGTGCTCTGAGCATGAGTCAGGTGGCCTGTTTTGGTAATGAGTGCCCTGTCATGGGAGGTCTTTAAGCAGAGATTGGATGACACCATCAGAGAAGTTGGAGAGGAGACTCTTGCATTAGATGGGAGGGTACACTAGAACGAGTATGAAGCCACAAACACTGATAGTCAATGTGACTATAGTCAATAGGCAAAGGTTCCTTCCAGTTCTGCTAATCTACACTCGCTGTTCTAAGGTCACTGACACTCCATGTTCTATGATCTAAGGCAATCTTGAAGCAGCATAATGAGGTAGAAAGAGCACCGGGCTTGGAACGAGAGGACCTTGCCACTCATTAGCTACGTGGGCTTGAGCAAATCACTTTACCCTTTTTGGGACTTCGTTGTCCCTCCTACCCACTCTGTGCTGCCCCACTCCCCATCCCAGTAAACTAAGGGCATTAGACAAGGTGAATTTTCGGGTCCCTTTCCTTTTTAAAAAGTTTTGTGCCTTTCTTTTATTTTTATATCACCTTAATTTCTAAATATATGCCTCCTCCTTTCTGTACCCAGAACCTCATCCCTTATAAGGGGGGAGTGGAGAGGAAGGGAAGGAGAGGGGGAGGAAGGAAGAGGAGAGGGAGAGAAAAAGTGAGGGGGGAACAGAGAAGAGAGAGAGGGAGAAAGAGAAAGAGAGAGAGGAAGAGAAAATGGGTGAAAAGAGAGAGAGAGAAAGAGAGAATAGCAGCTTAGAAGAGCTAAGTTACTCATCAGTTGTGTCTGACGGTATATTTCATCCCCACCAAGGATGTTTGTCTCAATACCAATGCAGCAGGGTCTTCTGTGAATCATGTCAGCACATTTCCCGCGCCATGTTCCTAGGATTTCATATTAGTACCTCTGCCCTTTGACTGTGACTTTATATTCACTCCTTTACTGTATTTGTGTTGCCTGGCTCATCGGAGGCACTCAGAAAATATCTGGCGAATGAATGCATGGGCCTAGAGCAGCCCTCACACAAGCTCCATGCTTTGAAAGACACAAACATAAATATAAAGCAAATATAAAAAAAATATTCCAAGGTGGAAGCTGGGGTGATGCAATGGGTGGGAACACAGGTAGGGCTAATCAGGGAATAAGTCTTTTTTTTCTTTTTGTTTTATTAATTTTTTTGATTTATCAAAAAATTATTTATTAACAATCACTTCCATAAGCTTTTGAGTTTTAAATTTTTCTCCTCCTCCCTCCCTCCCCACTTCCCGCCCCAAGATGGTGCATAATCTGATAGAGGCTATACATATACATCCCTATCAAACATATTTTCACATTAGTGATATTGTGAAGAAGAATTAGAACCTACAGGAGGAACCACAAGAAAGAGAAAACAAAACAAAACAGAAGAAAAAAAATAGCAAATAGTATGCTTCCATATGCATTCAAACTCCATAGTTCTTTCTTTGGATGGAGATAGCATTTTCCATCATGAGACCTTTAGAGATGTCCTAGATCCTTGCATTGCTGAGAACAGTTAAGTCTATCCACATTAGTCATCGCACAATGTGGCTGTTACTGTGTACAACATTCTCCTGGTTCTGCTCATTTCACTCAGCATCAGTCCATGCAAGTCTTTCCAGGTTTTTCTGAAGTCTGCTTGCTCATCATTTTTTATAACACAGTAGTATTCCATTACATTCATATACCATAACTTGTTCAGTCATTCCCCAATTGAGGGCATCCTCTCAATTTCCAATTCTTAGCTACCACAAAAAGAGCTGCTATAAATATTTTTGTAAACTACTTGGTACTAGCTAAGAAATAGAGTGGTGGATCAGTGGGATGGGTTAGGTATGCAAGACACAGTAGTCAGTGACTATAGTAATCTACTATTTGATGAACCCAAAGACCCAGCTTCTGGGATAAGAACTCACTATTTGACAAAAACTGCTGGGAAAACTGGAAAAGAGTATGGCAGAAACTAGGCATAGACCAAAATCTCACCCAAATAAAGCCAAAATGGGTTCATGATTTAGATACAAAGGCTGATACTATAAGCAAACTGGGAGAGCAAGGAATAGTGTACCTATCAGATTTATGGAGAACAGAAGAATTCATGACCAAACAGGAAATACAGAACATTACAAAATGTAAAACTGATAATTTTGATTACATTAAATTGAAAAGTTTTTGCACAAACAGAGCCAATGCAACCAAGATTAGAAGGAAAGTAGAAAACTGGGAAAGAATTTTTACAACCAGTATCTCTGATAAGGGCCTCATTTCTAAAATATATAGAGAATATAGATTTTTTTGTACATGTGGGTCCTTTTTCCATTTGTATGATCTCTTCAGGATACAGCCCTAGAAGTGTTATTGCTAGGTCAAAGGGCACGTTTTTATAGCCCTTTGGGCATAGTGGGAATGAGTTTTAAATCTAGCTTTGATGTCAATTCCTAAAAACACAGGCTTCAGAGCTGGAAGGAGACCAGCTGTAAGACTATTCCAACTCCCTCATCCTTATAGGGAGTCCTAGGAACTCCTTCCCTTACAGGGAGAATTTGGTAAGCCTGCTTCTGGAACTGCCTGATGGCATGGGATGGAGGGACCCTGCTCTCCTCTTCAGAGCATGGTGAAGATACAGACTTTATATTGGCTGCCGATTTGGAACAGGGTATGCATTTAAAAGGCATTAACTGACCAAATCTCTCCCTGTCCCTCCCTCTATCACACTTTTATCCCTCCCCTCTTCTCATTCTCTCTGTCTGTGTCTTTCTCTCTGCCTCCCTTCTATCTCTCCTATCCTCTCTGCCTCCCCTCCATCCCTCTTCTCTTCCCCTTCTCTCTTCCATGTCTCTCTCTTTCTCTGCCCTCCCCATCTCTCTTCTCCTCTCCTCCTATTCCTTCTCCTCTCCTCCCTTCCTTTCTGGATTTATTTGAGTGGGAAGTAAGGACTGCATTCTACTCCAAACACACCTGCTCCCAGGACTGAACCCTCATTGACCAGTCCTCTGTTACATACTGATGGCAGTGGTGATGGTAGGGACTGAAGCTCAGAGAGATTAAGGAGTCTGCACAACATCAAGGGTATGTGTGACCACCAAAGGAAGTGGGTCAGTCATGAAGCTAGAGTGAAGGTTAAGAGATGGGTAGCCCAAGGCTTCCACGGACACCTTTAAGATTTTAAAAAGACCTGGGGGAAGACAGCCTGCCCACCAGTCTTTAATGTAGGATTTTAAAGGCATGGACTAAAATCACCCAAGAAAAGCTATGGATAGGCTGAGATTTACCTGGGTAGAGGGACTCTCTCCTGCTGATGAGATCACTGATCCATCTAAGCAAGTATCTCTTTCTTAGCTCTCCCTACTAGATGATGATCTCATGCAAAAGTCTATTTCTTATTTATTTTCTGTCACATCTGTATTGTCTACTGATAGTGGGCACTAAAGAAATTTTAAAAATATATTTATAGCAGCTCTTTTTGTGGTGGCTAAGAATCAGAAGTCTAATGGATGCCCACCGATCAGGAAATGGCTAAACAAGTTATGGTATATTACTTTAATGGAATTGTGCTATAAGAAATAACAAGGAAAAATTTCAAGCAGATTTCAGAAAAACCTGGAAAGACTTACATGAACTGATACAAAGTGAACTGAGCAGAACCAGGAGAACATTGTACATAGTAGCGGCAATATTGTTAGATGAAGAATCGTGAATGACTTAGCTATTCTCAGCAATACAATCATACAAGGTAATTCCAAAGGACTAATGATGAAACCTACTATCAGACTCCAGAGAAAGAACTGATATTGTTTGAATACAGATTGAAGCACGCTATTTTTTACTTTCTTTCCTTCTTTTTCTTTTGAGTCTTCTTATACAAAATGACTAATATGGAAACATTTTATATAATTGCATATGTATAACATATATCTGATTGTTAACCATCTCAGGGAGGGGGTAAAGGAGGGAGTGAGTGATAGAATTTGGAACTCAAAACCTTAAACAAAACAAATGCTAAAAAATTGTTTTAACATGTAATTAGGTAAAAAAATAAATATATATATATATATATATAATAAATTTTTTAAATGAATAGATACAAAAGGTTTTTTTTAATCTCCCTCAGTGCATAATATAACACACAAGATCATACTAGGTGCTTAATAAATGTTTGCCAAATGAATTAAATGAATGAATAGATGGATAGATGAGTGGTTAGGTTAAAGAATTCAGTGCCTCTTTTCTGCAAAGCCTTGTACCAGGCACTGTGGTGGGCTAAAAGAGTAAATATAATTATTTTCTTTTTGGGGGTTGGGATGAGGGGAGGGAGGCAATCAGGGTTAAGTGACTTGCCCAGGGCCATAGAGCTAGTAAGTATCTGAGGCCACATTTGAACTCGAGTCCCTCTGAGTCCAGGGTCAGTGCTCTCTCCACTGCACACCTAGCTGCCCCAGAACAATTGTTTTCTATCAGGAAATTCTTTCTACCCTCCCTGGTAAGCTTCAAGACCCCATATTCTCCCTCAGTGCCTCAGATTTTCCCTCAGTTATCTCTATCTAAATTCTGCCACAAACAGATAACAGAGCTAATCACTGCTTTCTGTACAAAGTTGAAGACCTCACATAAAACTTGACTTACCCATCTCTTAAGCATCTTATTGGGCAATATTGTGTGAAATACTCATCCATGTTTGTGTATAACTCCCCTAACATAAAAAGCTGCCCCATAACAGAGCAGCTAGGTGGCACAGTAGATAGAGTGCTGGTTCTGAAGTCAGGAAGACTCATCTTCCTGAGTTCAAATTAGGCTTCAGATACTTAACAGCTGTGTGACCCTGGGCAAGTCACTTCACCCTGTTTGCCTCATTTTCCTCATCTATAAAATGAGCCGAAGAAAGAAATGACAAGCCCCTCCAGCATCTTTGCCAAGAAAACCCCAAATGG